AAACACTGAAATATTCAGGAAAGACATCAGAAAAGATAAGGACAGTTTGCAAATCTAGATTTTATCAGGAAGTACAATCAGGAAAAGAATTTTGGCTTGAATGAATCTGACAAGTGTTGACAACTACATATATACCAAGGAGTTACGTAAATCATATTTCTTACTTTTACGCAGGTGGAAAATTATGTGAAATAAACTTCCTGCGAACGTTTTTCCAAATGAATTTGATATCCAGCGATTCAAATCCAATGTGAATCGCTTCTTTCGCACAGGCACCGCTCTTAGAGCGTCTTGAGGAATTTTCTGTGGTGTTTGTGTTTCGTCCTTGACAAAAACTTCATGCTACTCTGATAGTCAATATCTCGGATAATAGTTTTATGAATTTTCTTAAGCGTAGGAACCCGTTTTATATGCATCTGCGTAAAATTGCCAAATCAGCATTACCCATCACAGTTTTGACATTTTTGATACATCTCTTTCTATTTGGAGTTAAAAATGTTTTTTTTCGCCATTTCCTATTTTTTTTTATCTCTTTATTTGATTTTTCATACCTGTGGCCTCAGAACCTTCAAAGTTAAAATACAATATTGGTTTCAATTCCACTTATTATTACTATTACTTTTTTTCTTCGCAAGAGGAATTCCAACTGGCGTTGCTTCCTTTTACATAAATTTTAATAAGTTGTTCAATTTCTCTTCTTTGTACACTGATAACCTTGTTTTCCAGTTTACTAATGACCTTCAGGTTCACTGATAACCTTGTTTTCCAGTTTACTAATCGGAGACAATTTCAAGGACAACAAATAACACAGTTCACCACACAGAATGATTTCCCTACTTGCTGTACTAACACGATATTCCCTATACGAGTTCCTCGATGTTATTGAGCTCTTGTCCCACTCCGCTGGCAGATCTGCTGGGCATCCAATATTCAAAGGCACAGCTAGATTTGCCAAGCTGTAGACTACTGACTAAACATAACATCAACATAGCATACAAGAAAGATAACATCTAAGGTAGACATATGAAAAATATCCAACATTGGAAACAACAAATCTGGTGTCTACAAGTTAAAATGTGGCTCGTTCATATTGGAAGAACATCTAGAAATTTCAAAACTAGAGTCTCCGAACTCAAAAGAGGTTTTTCATAGAAAACCAATTGTTAGAAAACATCCACGTCTTCGACATAAACTGCGACGTACTACTTGCAGGAAATAAAGGATAAGGAGTCAATCTCACCACTCTCAAATTCATTTTCGTGAAAAATTTCATACAATCAGGTATCATTAGTAACAATACCGACAACAATAACCGACTTTGTACCTGTTGGGTAATATTCCAGCCTTTAGGATCAACTAAATCTGTATGAAAGATGAGGAGGGCCAATATGGGAAAATTGGAAATTGTGCTCATTTTAGAGCTGATCTAAATGCCGTTTTCAAATTTGAGAAATTCCATAGATATTCGGAAACCATCGAAACTCGACAATTTTATTCTTTTACTGGCGTTATTGAAGAAGATCTCAAAAATAAAATTATATTTCATCGCCACTTTTCAAGCTATACAAGATGGTATTCAATGTGAGAGAGTCCAAAACAAATTTCTTCGCTACATTAGTCACAATTTAAGTTTTCCATTTACGAATAGCGATTACAGTCCCATTATGCGCCAATACAATATTATGCCTATGAAGGATAGAAGAACTGTTACGAATCTTATCATGATTTTCAAGTTGATGAAAGGTTTAGTCCACTGCCCAGAGCTTTATTCCAAAAGTGAGTTCAATGTTCAGGGTAGAACGTTGAGGCGTACAGAATTCTTCAAGTTAACTTGCACAAGGACAAATGCTGCTCAAAATTTACCACTTTATAGAATGTTTAAAACCTTTAACGAAATTTGCAATGATATTCAATATTTTGAAATCTCTTTAGACTGTTTCAAACGCAGGATGAAAAAAAATTTCATGTCCGTTCAGAATATCCATAGGTTTCTGTCTTGTTGCTGAATGGATAGAGTTGTTGTATCCTAGGATGGCATAGAGCATCTGTTCTTTGATATCTCTTTTCTTATGCGTATCTCTCAGTATTCTCAAGTGCTCGATCAATGTGGAATGGAATCTTTCGACTATCCCGTTTGACTGAGGGTTTTCTGGAGTGGTATAGTGAATGTTGACTTTAATCACCAAAAACTTATTTCTATGTAGATATTCCTTGACGGGCGATAGTGAAGAGGTATTCTTGTCTACGGCCGGAATTCTTCCTGGAGTACTTGCTTCTCGGTGGAACTTGGTTCGGGAGAATAGTGGATAAACGTTTGAGAACGACGAGGATCTTCTAAGGACTCTTCCACTATCCTACTGACTGCGCCAATTATATTTTTCGTTTACACAAAAGGGTTTTTAAAAACTTTTTATTTGAACAGAGTAACAACTAATAACTATGAAATATAAGTACTGGCTATTACAAATCAATTGAACCTATTTATATATAAATTATTGCCGACTTTGCAGATACCAGCAAAATAATTGATGTCGTCTTCGGGTCATCGAACAATATCCTGCTGATGTAAGAGGTTATCGAACTGTAATTTACGCCTTGATATTTCTTTATGTCTTTCCTATCGCAAATTCCTCTGGCTTTGCTTATCATCGTGGTTTTTTGTATAATGAAAAAAGTTATCATTATGTACTGGGAAAATTAATTCGTGGATAACCGCCAAATTTAGATTTATCATATCAGTTTTCAAATATCTTCATTGAGTGTAACTGATTATTTGATGATGAATGCAACAATGACTTGATAAATGCGAGAGACAATAAAATGAAAAAGATGAAAAGAAAAGCCGTTTCCGCTTTGAGGTCGAGAACTTATTGTAAAAACAAAGGAGTTGGATGCATATTAAACTGGTGTGGTTACAGTTACTTGATAATTCAATGATAATAGACGAGTAGTAATGATAAATTGAAGGACATTAAAAGTCGTTCAAAATAGTTTTTCATAGTTCAATGTCAAAATGTCGACAGAGATACATTTTTTCTCAAGAATCCATCAGTGAATAGACATCACATTGTGAGCATCGCATCGGTACCTGACGTGATGAAACGCATAGTTTCATTTAGCATCCTGTTGTTCTACGAGTAAAAAAGAAAGATAAAACAGATTTAGCTAGCGTTCAATCAAAGGAAATTCTTGTTGGATATCGTTTTTCCCTAGGTACATCAAAAAGATATAGCTTTACAAACGTGAGTTATCGGCAACTTCTTATTTGAGACCAATCGATTTTTTTCAAGGACAAAATACAAGCACTACAGAAAAATCCTTAAGGCGCCTGCGCGAAAGTATCGATTTACGTTGAATTTGAATCGCTGGGGATTGAATTCATTTGGAAAAACGTTCTCAAGAAGTCATTTCCACATAAAGGCAGTTAATAATAATAATAATAATAATAATAATATCGCTTTTATTATTTCATAATCAAAACAAAAAACACAACATAACTTATATATTCAACTTACAATTGAAATCGTTCATCGTCCGTAATGAAATACATCACGGAAAATGTTCTTCCACTCAACCCTGAAAAGGGAACAAATAAAAAGGAAAGAAAAACAAAAATAAAACTGTGATTGTTATATATAATGATATCATAATGTAAATACGAATAAAGACCTTACATAAAGGGTTTACTTCACCTATTTCTTACAAGATATCAATAATTTGATTCAATTTCAGTCTAACAAATAGTCTTTATATTTAGTTTTGAACTTTGTGAAATTTAATTTTTTGAGGGGGTTCGGGACAGAATTATACTTTCGACAAATTTGGTACCTGAAAGACCGCCTGAACGCTTCTGTTTTGAATTTTGGCATTGCAATCATACTTTCATATCGAATATTCACGTTATGGATGTCCGTACGATATGTGATTTTCCTATGAAGATATGAAGGTGTTTTAGTTACAATTATTTTATGGAAAAAACAGACAGCGTGAAGTAACCTTCTTTTCTCCATGTTCAGCCATCCAACTTCTTGAAGCTTATATGAGATCCTGTGTCGCCGACCAATAACAAAAATTAACATAAGGCACGAGTTGTGAATCTTATTTTTGTATTGATCGGTTAAACATGGGCCATAAAGAACATCCGCATAATTGAAAACTCTGAAAGCACCAAAGATTCTTAAGGACTTTTTCACATAATAAGGCAGAATATGTCGGTTACCATAAATGATTTTCAGTGCAGAATAGGCACGTTGTAAGAGTTTATTTACAAATTTTTCAAATCTCAGATCTACATCCATCAAAACACTAAGATTTTTTGCTTCACTAACAATCTACTGGCTCATTTCGAATGCAGATATTCACAGAGTTTCTATGGAACGGTGGAATCTTAGACCAAAGATCATTACACTTGATTTACCTGGGTTTATAAATGAACAGTGGTCCGTTGCTAATTCAACAAATCTTTTTATATCTGCATTGATAGTGCCACAAGCATTGTCTGCTATATTCGCCGGAAAACTGGTATACTTCAGTATCATCAGCATATAAATGCACCTGACAAGTGTGAAAAGCCTGCAGTAAGTTGGATGTACATATAGAGAACAGTAAAGGGCCGAGTATGGGTCCTTGAAGTACCCCTGATTTGAGATATAAGATATATAAGTTGTATTTCTCTATTCTCCTAATGGAAGAGATCTTAAACAGTGAAGTTCAAGATGTACTGAGTGGAACCTCAAAACGATGAGCAGCCATAGTCCGTCGCGTATTTCTGATATGTTCCGCTCTTGGTGGAATCAAACGTGCCAAGTCACTTGAACTTTTCTGTGAAAGAGAGACGAATCTCTAACCTTTTTTCGATGTTCCAGACTATCAAGGTTGCAAGTGATGTTCGTATCTCCAATCAGGCAGATGACTCATTTCTGGACTCCAACAGCTTCAGGGTATGTTTAAGGGCGGAGCTTCATACATGATAACAATAGTCCAAAGCATGTCTGATCTGAGCTTTATGAAGCATTAAAAGTTGCTGAGGTGTGAACAGTTTTCTGGTGTTCCAAACGTTTGAGAAGCAGCCATTGCAATTTCAGCGACATGATTGCGCCTAGACAAATTGGTGTCTATTTCAACCCCCAACGAATTTATCGAAGCAGAAAGCGAAATTGTCTGTTCTGACATTATTATATCCGGCATTGAAGTTAACCTGTTTACTTTTACCCCAATACGAGATCATCTCTAGATAGTTATCAAGATATGCAACCTCCTGCTGCCGGTGAGATGTGCATCCGCGGCCTATGTCCTAGAATCCGAAGGGGATGACGAGACAAGTGTGCTGTCGCCAGCAAAACAATATATTGGATAATATATTAGGGATATGGAGACAATATGGATCCCTGGAGAACACCAGCGTTGGAAAAAGTAAGTAATCGAGAGTAAGTAATCGAGAGATATCCATCGACAGCCACTTGCAGGAAACATTCTTTCAGGAAGCTGATTGGTATCGTTTGATGATTTAATGTTGTCAATTGAGAATCCAAATAAAAGTCTTTTTGAAATGTTGTTCCCTTGACCCGAACCTATAATTGGCGCAATCGGTAAAATAGCGGAAGAAGATCGACCCAGAAAGTCTTCAGTCAACTGCAGATCCCAGGTGAGAATTATGACACACTATCACAGTACGGCGAGTTTTGCTTTTTGTCTCCAACGATTTCCTTGAAATTTGTATCATAAATATTCAACAGAGGTTTCGGAAGAGTGACTGTCACAATGAACAACAATAACTTATCATTTTTTTGTTTGGAGGTGATTGACAATGTTTCATGATGAATTTCACTAGTTCGGACTTCCATTGTCTACTATATAAAATGATTTGAAATCCCTGAAACGACTAAAAAAGAAGAATAAAAAATGAGATAGCTGAAAATAACAATTATATTAACCAAAATAAACCTGAAATGAAATAATAGTGAAATAAAATACAAGTAAAAATAGAACAATTGAATAAATTAAAATGAAGAAATGAAAAAAGAAAATAAAAATAAAAAGTGGAGAGATTCCAAGTCACGTTAGTTCACGACGTTTCGATTGTTAGTATCTACAATCGTCTTCGGGTGATGACTGGACTGATTCCTCCGAGAGATGACTATTTATAGGTCGTTCGAGTACTTTCACTTATCCCCGCTTTCTATTTTCCGTCCACTGGTTACGTGGGAGATGACCGTTTTGGCGGGAGTTGGCCATTTTTCGCTTGATGATGGGTTTCCATATGTTTCCATCTGTATACCGAAAACCCACTCATACGGGACAGTATCTGAACCACGAATCCAACCACCATCAATCGACTAAAAGAGGAATCATCAAGACTCTATTAGACCGTGCTTTTGGGATTTGTAATTCAAAGGAAGGTCTCGAGAAGGAACTAGACATCATCAAAAATGATCTTCAACGGAATGGCTACTCCAAAGCGATAGTAGAAAAGACTTTGGCTAGAAGACAGCAGGAGCCTCGCAAGGAAGAGAAGCCGTCACAACCAGTGCTTGCACTTCCCTACATCAGAGGATTATCGGAGAGGATAAGAAGAATTGATTGTAAAACATCAGAACCTGCTTCAGATCCGGTAACTCTATCCGCAGCAGCCTCACGAAAACCAGGCCACCAAACGCGGACTGCGATTCCAAGAATTGCATTTATCGGATACCCTGTGAGTGCGGAAAATCCTATTCTTCATTTTTATTTATTCAATTGTTCTATTTTTACTTGTATTTTATTTCACTATTATTTCATTTCAGGTTTACTTTGGTTAATATAATTGTTATTTTCAGCTATTCATTTTCAACTCTTCTTTTTTAGTTGTTTCAGGGATTTCAAATCATTTTATATAGTAGACAATGGAAGTCCGAACTAGTGAAATTTATCATCGTTTTCTTTCATTGTAATTGAAATTGATGACCTGACTATAGAAGTCAAGTAGGTTAAGAATAAGCAAATAGAAATTACACGAGAATTATGAACACATAAGCACAGATTTAACATTCTTCACATTCCATAATTATCAAGCAGTGCACTTGCTTTCTTCAAACATCTTGAACGTAGAGAAAAGTCAGTAAATCCAAACAGAAGGGTTTTTGAAAAGAGGTTTCCGTGCTCAAAACTATTGCATGTATAAATATCTATTGGCCGTACTGTATTACCTACGATTCATGGATAACAACAAAAATGAGCTCATGAAAATTGTTCTTATGTCAAAATGACAAGAGAAAAGGTGCCTGTAGCTTTTCGAAAATTTTGCAGAAGGTTTCCTCTGTTGTATTACCTGTTCTGTACAGGAAAACAGGAACACGTGAAACTGAAAAGATGTGTTGGATTTCTTTATGGAATCGTTCTTGGAGTTCTCTTCTATCAATTCGTTATGGTCGACTTGAGCTTCACCGAAGAAGGGGGATTGATTGTTGGTACAGTCATAAGCTTGATGCTGGGATTTGGAATAGCGTTTTCTTCACAAATTCGATGTATAACCTTTCTGACCTTTCCAAACTTCGGAGGTATGTATTATATTAGGTACTGTTAACGCCGAAAACTAAATAAATCTTCGCTCCCTTTTCCAAATGCAGATATGTTGAATTCATCATTTATGAAATTGATAATCTCAAGTGTATAATGACAATAAAAAGACAAAGACGATTGGGTTTTTTTCTTTTTGTGCCGTTAGGAATAACAACAGATAAATATGTTATTTCCAATATTCTCTTCTGTTGTCATAACGACTTGCGAAATACTTACAAACAATTTGTTTGGACAAAAATAATTTCCAATCTATCCCTTATCTCTTGCAAGCAGTGAAACCAGGTCCAAAGTTTCCTTTTTGGAATTTCTAGATGGCATTGCCATCAAAGTGGTTTAGAATTTTCCGAAAATTTTTCAATTCCGTTTTTATTTTGTTATACGAGGCAAAGCAGATAATTATATTTGCATTCAGAAGCGTATCTAGGAATTTATTGAGGGGAGCGCACTTGAGATAAAATGTTTTGCGATAAAGAAATGAAAGTTCAGTTGTTTAGTGAACATGATGAGGGTATAAAATCAAACCAATTACTGTACTTCCAATATTTGATAAAAATGTTTTTGTTTAAGTTGCTTCAAACTAAAACACCTGGTTATTTATATAGTTTATCAAGCAGGCATTCTGATATACATATGGTCAATTTGAGAATTAACTCATTCAACATACCTAGGCACCGTACTTCCAAATTTCAAGGATGTTTTTCTTATATAGTCCCTTCTTATCTGAATGAAATGTTTCTCCTTTTAAATCATAACATTGATCAATTTAAGAAAGAAATAAAATCACAGATGCTTACTGCTCAGTGCTAATTTAAAAAAATTTAAATTCAATGCATGGTAGTGCAATGAAATTGTTAAATTGACCAAAATAATGTTAAGAATATTAAGAGTGTTAGCAACTATATGATCTATTATTTTTTTTCTTCTCTATCATTGTTATGATAGTAAATAAGTATTTTTATAATCATTTTCTTACACTCACTATATAATGTTTGGGAAGTATGCGTATGCATCGAAGTATGCGCTGGTTAGGTTAGGTTAGGTTAGGTAAGGTCGATAGCCGAAGCTCCGATACACTCGGGAGGGCGCGCCAGCATTATCACTTACCCCACGGTGTGGGGTAAGTGATCATAGAGTCCAAAAATCATGTTCCCTGAGCAAGCGCAGTGAGCCAAGAATGACAGTCTTCTGCATTTGTCCGGCTAAGATTTCTGCCTTAGTGCGGCATTCCGGTATGATTTTAAGATTCGAGAGTAGAGAGTAGGCCGAGACCGCATATGCTGGACATGTTGATACCAAGTGCATAAGGGTCTCGAGCGCCTCGAGGCAGGCTCTGCGGTAGACTGAGGTGTTGAAGACACCATCCTGGCAAGCCATGATGGACCCCTCAGTTTCCGACTTCAGCCCACTCGACCTGAGAAAAGAGAACGTCAGGCGCTTTGATAAGCCAAGTTTTTCAATGTTATTGAAGAAGACCCCATGCATTGGCTTATCCTTGTGTTTCCGCAGAGGTGAGGTGATCTCTGCGGCTTTTATCTGATCTTTTTGCTGAATGGGTTCCAACTCGGTGACAGAGTTGTGGTAACCTCGTTCAGTGTCGAAAGTTAAACCGAGTTCATCAGCTGCTCGGGTAGCTGCTCTAAAGAGAAATGCTCCAATTCCTGCTCTCTCATGGTCACGGACCATGCAGAGAAGGGGATCCGAACTCCTGACGACTTTACAGGCTATATCCAGTACCATTCTGTCATGTAGACACTCCAAACTCAAAAGTTCACGGCCTCCCTGTTGTCGGGGGAAGTACAACCGTGGAACGGACGATTCAGGATGCAAACTCCTATAGAGATGCATCATTTTTCGGGTCTTTACGTCGAGTTGATACAACTCCTCCCGAGTCCACTCAACTACTCCAAACGAGTAGAGTAAGATTGGAACGGCAAGCATATGTGTTGCAGCAACTTTGTTCTTCCTCGGAAGTTCAGATGACTAGATCTATTATTATCATTATTATGACTTAGCGTGAGATATTCTGTTGAAAGAAATAAAACACACCCATGATTCATGAATTTTGTATGTCTCGCAAACAAATGTAACTAACTAAACTAAATTATTGGGATCTTCAAGACTATTTCATAAGGAAAGCACACAAAAGCGATATATGTGTTTGTAGGCTGGACACATACACACACATGTTACGAACTGAACTATACAATAGGTATGTCATTAAAAAACTAAAGTTGAATATGTGTTTTTATACACTCACACTACAATGTAAACAGAATTTTTCTGTTTTTTGATCCGGCAAACCGATCTACGATATTATCCATTGCTACTATAATGTCTTGGTGGACATATTACAACTACACTTAGATAAGTCTCTTGACAATTTTCCGCCTTTTTTGTTTACTTCCTTACATCCACCTGAGCGCTGTACTATACATTAATTGTACTATCGCTGAATAGAAACAATTTGTGTATTTGATTGACATTGATTTATATTCAAATCCACGTGTTGTGTCGCCGGTTGAAATGTAATTTTTGGTTGCTCATATCGCTATTTTTCTGCAGAAGCCAAGTGTTCGCTTTTTATGTATGTACCTTTAAATGAATATATCATTTTTTCACATTCAATCAAAATCATTTTTCTTACTGAGGGAGTAACAAATTTCGACATCTGATATCACAAAAGATTGTTTTGGCATGAGCATTGTAAGTGGCTAAACCACATTATGAAAAAATATGTTTCATTGGTTTTCGCTGCATTTTAGTGGTTTTGCTTTCCCTTCTGACCAACAATTTATGTAGATCGAATTTCAACGCTTTTCTTGACTTGTAATCTTTATATATCTTGTGAATTGAATATCTGTTGGACAGAAAATCATGAATAGCAACTCAAAGTGCAGCAAATTCTACCATAAAAGATTTCTGCAATAAATTAATCTAGATCCTTCTTGAAAATTCAAAATTCACCGACAAGTTTCACCATCGATAAAACAGTCCCATTTTCAATCTATTAGAGAGTAGTTCATCAGACATCCACTGTGGCTCATTAGGATTTGTCCCCACCAGCTATACTGTTTCTGAACGTAGGTGTTGTAATCTGTGGTCTACTGATGGATTTCAATTTCAGTCATCTCTTGATGCTAGTTTACTTATAAGTCGATGATGTAAGTTGTGTAAATGAAATCCTTCGTTTTGCTTGTTCAGCAATTCATAAAATGCTAACGCTAATTAAGCTACTTAACGCGGGTGTGGAGTTTTGTCAGTACCTATGTAAAAGTACCATCTTGAACAAAGAATAAAGTCTCTACATCCAAACAGAAGTCATTTTGAGAGATGGTTCCTGTAAGCCGAACCTATAATTGGCGCAGTCGGTAAGATAGCGGAAGACGATCTACACAGAAGCGCGCCTCCCGCGCTCCAGTGGCTGGATCCGCCACTGTTTGCATTGAATGATGTTTGCGTTAATTTCACAAAGTGTTTGTTGATTTTCCAGCAGTTGTATCATGCCACGTATTTCTGACATGTATGGAATCAAGTGAGCTGAGTCATTCGAACACTAAAAGTATCTCAAATGTTGCTTTGGATATTTTGGTCCCTAGTCAGTTGGATGGCTGTTTTCTGGATAGGATGTATGCTTTGAGGAGGACCTCTAGATACATATTTTGTTCACAAATTAAGTCTTTATGAATGAAATACAGATACAAAATTTGGGAATCTTGAAGAGCTGAGACATCGTTGAAATCCACATACGTCACAATACATTACTGGGCGTCACAATACAATACATACTTTCCACAAAAAGAGTTTCAGGAGTTTAACGAAAGATGAAAACTTCAAGTTATCCCATTTCCTTCGAGAGTTATCTGTTGTCAAACTTTCATGACAGACAGACGGACAAACAGGCTGCAGATAGGCGGACAGATGGAAAGGACGAAGGGATAGATGAACAGATGGTAGGTCAAACGGACAGACAGATAACAGAATTTTTCAAAAAGTTTCATTTATGAACTCTGAATAATTTTTTCGAAGTAACCATGGATCTATCTCTTCAAATAAAATTGTTTGTATCCGCTCTAATGATCATAGAGTACTACTTTCTATAGATAGTTGAATGAAAATGAAGGGGTGTTTTGAAAGTTGATATTGGCTTCAAGACGATGTTGAATGTTAACCATGGTATCTGTTTTGAATATCTCAAGGTAAGGTTGGAAGGAGTGTCCTGAAGGCCATTGTGATAACCTTCGTGATATCTGGTCCTGTAGAGAACTTGAGCAACAACGGCAAAGAGGTTGTCAGGGTTTTCGCTTGCACCGCTTCCCTCACATTCAACTTAACGAAAACAAGATTCGAGCTGATGTTCAAGCCATTCACACAAGCAATATTTGGTATGAAGACCGAGGTCAACGAAGTCAAGGACACCCTGAGGTCGATAAAGGACGTTGCGGCGCCAATCACTGGAGAAATAGAAGATGAAACGGAAATGAAGAAGATGAAGGAGGAGAACGACTACTTGGACGAGCAAATGGGGGATACGAAACGGTCTGAGGCGGCCGCTGACAAATTCCAAACAAAGGGTGAGTGCTTTTGAGGTTTATTTCGTTTGGTTGACCATGTTTTTCGGTGCATGTTACAGGTTATTACTCTAAGGTTTTGGTTTTCTACTTCTCTATCTTTATTCAAAAAATAAAGGAAACTTCCAAAGAAAGGAAGATACAATCAATTTCAAAATAAACTCTTGGAAAAGATGTCTCAATCATGCAGTGAAGTCACTTTTAGATACAAACTGGAAGAAAAAACCTTCTCGAAACAACTTTTTTTTGTACCTTGGGAGCTGTCTGACTTGTCCGTTTAGTCCAAGTCTCCGGAAAACACTGCAGCCTCTTGGGCTTATTGCGTTTATTCTCCCATCTTGTACAGGTTCCGTGTTGGTTGTTCATCATATTCTTTTGAACGTAATTTCGTGCGTCCATATATTGCCTGCCTACTGTGATTCAGTGCCTCACATTCGCATGAGATGTGTAGAGCTGTTTCTATCCCTTCGTTGCATAATTTGCAGCTGAGGTCTCCGTTATAAAGACCCATTTTATTCAGGTGTCCTCTAAGCGGACAATGACCGGTTAGTAACCCTGTAATTATTCTGAGCTGATCCCTACTATATTCAAGTAGTTCTTAGGTTCTTTTCTCGGACGGTTCCCTAATGAAGGTTCTACTGTGTTTGTTGCCAGGTAATTTTGTCCAGTACTCTGTGTGCTACTTCTCATTGGTCCATGTCCTAATCTGGTTTCGTATCAATGATTTTGGTACCCCCAGAGCTGGTTCTGTACCTATATATGAAGTTGATGATCCGCGTCTAGTGCATTCATCAGTTTTATCATTACCTGTGATTCCTAAATGCCCTGGCACCCAGTAAAAAGTTAATTTGTTTCTGTTTGCAAGTTCATTCAGTTCTTCATGGTATTCCCAGACTAGTTTTGATGTCACCTTCGGGTTTGTCAGAGCCCCTAGTGCGCTTTTGCTGTCTGTAAAATTATTGACCCGCTCATTTATTTGATGTCTCAATTTAATAAGCCTTGCACACTGCAAGATAGCATACACTTCCGCCTGAAAGACGGATGTGTATAGTCCTAGCGGATAGCTGTAGTTTAAATTTCTATCCGATCGGTATATTCCAGCTCCCGTTCCATGTTTGGTCTTCGTTCCATCTGTATTCTCGAAACAACTACTTTGATATGAATATTGAATTAGACAAAAACACTTTCTTCATTCAGTTTGATCTTCATGCATTCCTAATGGAATTGAATCAGATATCAATCACAGGATTGCTGCACAATATACTATAAGAAAGAGGTACAATTTAATTTACACAGAACTCTGTCATCCTCAATGGCAGATATTCGTTGTTTCGGAATAAAACACCAGCCTTAATGCCTCTTCAGTATAAATTTGGATAACATTACAAGATGAAGGGCAAACTGAAAAGTGCAACCCGAAAAATTACCACTGGAGAGTCAAATTTTGCCTACAATGGAGAAATAAAAATTCTCACATTCAGCTTTCGGAATCTAGGAACAACAGAGCTGATTGTCATATCTACTAAGAGAGGTTCAAAACACAAATATGAACCTAAGCTTAATTCTCAGGAAACACCCTGTATATGTATTCATATACAGGGAAATTTGGACATTTCATTCTTCTGACGTGTGTCAAAGAAAATAGAGCTGTTCGCAATCAAGGCATTGTTCAACGGAATTTTTAGATCAAATTTGTAATACGTCAAACGTTTCAATAATCATGAACAGCAATCTACGCCTTTTTGTATTTTATTTATATTCACCACTGTGTTCATTTCCATATATCTCCATACCATTTGTTTTCATAAGCGAATAATAATTAATTTTTATATGATTTCATTTTCATTAGATGACGATTGTTATTTTATCACATAGAAACTATATCAAATAGAAAATTCTTTGTGTGAACTTTGAATTTGAGTCATTCGAACCAAATTAATCATAATTTTATCGCTCTATGTAAACTATCGATGAGTGTCTCTGGGTTTTATAAAGTCGACTAATGAAATTCACTAGAATAGACAGGAATGCAAACTTCTTCCTGATAGCTAATGTTTATTTCATGGGACACGTCAGTCATTATGTCCTTTGAATCAACAGAACGAACGTTATTCATTAATTTATTATTTCAATTCCACAAAAAAATTTGAAAGTCTTCAATGCTATTTTAGCAAAGTTGATCAGTTTCCTTGTTGTTAGTTTCTTGAAATAAGAGGGCATTACTGTTATTCCTTCAAGAAATGTAGGTTGGTATTAACTTAACATTTGCGAGGCACCACAACAAGACACAAACAAAACAAAAGTAAATTCAAAAAACCGAAGAAGAAGCCAAATTCAACTATAAACAGAAAGAAGTTGAGAACAATGAAGGTAACTCAGCGAAACGATGAGTACCAAATATAATGACTATTATATATTTTTTTAATTCACTGACCTCTCAGATTAGATCATTATATCGGTAGAGAAGCTGGCATACGGCCGTTTTCACTGCGACATTTGCAGATCTATTGTGCTGCTTTTTGGATATTAGAGCTCTTTATCTAACTTTCCCTCCAAAGCCTTGATAATGGCTGCTTCATATAGCTCATAGCCTCTGGTTCCTCATTCCCACATCTCCCATGCCTTAGTCTAGCTAACGCTTCGCATTTTCATAGCATATGTAGTGTGGTTCATTCTTTCTTCAATCAGAACCTGCATGGGGTTTCATTATGCTCATATGTTTTATGAGCTGATAACTTCCCGTTAGCAGACCAACCACTACCTTTACAATCTTACTGTTTTGGTTCAGCAGGTCTTCCGCAAATTTGGGTGAGGGTTTGTTGATAAACTCTTTCGCCTGCTTCATTCCTAGAAGCGTTCCACCAATTTAGCGCTTTGGCTTTCAATTACGAATTGATATATGTCTTAATACTTGTCATCGCCAGCCCACACAAGGGTCTGGACCTATCATGGTTGGGTGCACCTTGACGGGCTAAATCATCGGTCCTTGTGTCCTTCGTGTCCGGGTATCAAGGCTAGGGTAACCCTATTGTAGGAACCTAGCTAAGATAGTTCCCAACAAGTCGCAGAAAACTTTGTAGAAGCTGAGCACCTCAATTGCCACCTGGCCATCGGAGAAAATGGCAATCATTTTATTTCCAACCTTCTTCATGAGCAATTCAATAACTACAATTTCTACCTGAAACACTTTTGCGATTTGTCCGAGGCTGAGTGTGATTTTTGTCTTCGCTCTGCCTCCTTGTATACCGGCTCCTACTTTTTCTTAGGTTTTTGAGTTGTTCGTTTACCAAGTTTCCTCCGCTTCAACCACTGACCCGTTCCTTAATACATCTGAAAGGCAGCATTGTGAGTCTTTCCTTATTACAGATGTTGGTATGATCAGACTTATAGAAATGCTTTCAGAAATTTGGCGCATGGAAAAGTTAGGAAAAGTCTCTTGCTTCTTATTTTATGGATGAGCCAAACAGTTTATAATATCATTCACGTAAATTTAAGAGAGAACTGGCCCAAGAACTGGACCTTGGGGTACGCCCCATATTAATTTCTCCTCTTTGTAGTTGTGATGACAATCTGAGGCATGTCAAAATTGGGTCTCTAAAGCTTCAGCTTTCTGACCAGTATTTTATGATTTACAAAACTTTCTGATAAGTCACTAAATACTGCCATGCATTGCCACATCCTCTGCATTGAGTTTACCATAAATATTTGGCGGTATACCACTCTACTTGTATCGTGTAAGTAGTTAATTAGAACAATATTTTTTTTGGGTCAATCTTTTGGAATGCTCAGAAATCACTAGATTACAAAACTCGGAGTGTTTATTGTATGACTGAATCGAATTGAATATTCCTCCTTTGTTATAATGAAATTGGTATTAGTTGAAGATTTCAGATGAAATTGTTACAAAAACCCAGGTAGTCATTATTACTTGTCGATTTTGAAGGGTTGTTCCTAGAATGTTCAAGACTAGAAGTCATAAAATCAGTATTGGAAATCTTTATGATTCGAGTAATAAGATGATGTAAATATTCGCAGACATTTCTCATCATTCATATAAGATTGAGATTATCCATGAACACGGCTGGAGATCCCAGCTAGTTGACTGCATTCCTGGAACATCACTTTTTTCTCTTATCAGGCCCATTGATGGCTTCTTAGAATAGATATAAACGTCCGTTAAATTTAGAATATTCTCTACTGAGATTATATTTATATTTGGGTCATTATGTTTCCTGTTGAGCATTTCCCATCAAACGTGGTTGTGGATTTATCACTACTTACATCCTGAAATGATGAAAAAACAATTCTGTCACTTCATCAAAAACGTTAAAAAGGGTTTTTTTATGTACATGTTTGGGTTGGGAAAAATTTAATGACTTCCAATATTAATTTCCCATTATGTATCTGGATTTTCAATTCGGTCGATCTGATGTCCGGTGATGCAAATAACAGTAGATTTGTAGAATTTAAAGTTGCGAAGTGCGGGAAATTTCTGATATTGTTTTTATACTGTGTTGTTTTAGAATCCTCCGTATTTTATCTGTAACTCCTCTGACGTTGGATTTGGTTTCCTTTGTGATTGTTTCGTCCTCGTTTTCCTTCTTTCATCGGTATGTTGCTCTGTGGATCGTATGTATCTTTTTTATTCCTTGATATTCTGTATCTCCGTCAGTTAGGCCTTCAGATCTGTATATAAGGCAGGATGATGTGACTCTGCGTACAGGTATCTGTTGATATACGTTGGTTTCCTGTGGACTGTGTGCTGAATTTCCCATTGGGTTTTCTTCTGACCAGTACAACAAGAAAAGCTAACTTTTGGGAAATAAAGTTTTTGGCTTTCTACTACTCCATCTTGATACAAAAAAAGTGGGAATCTTCCAAAGAAAGGAAAAAAGTAATCAATTAATTCATTTTTTTGTAACAAGATGGAGTAGTAGAAAGCCAAAAACTTTCTTTTCCAAGAATTAATCACTCCTAAAAAATATAACCCCTTCAATTCAAAAAAGCTAACTTGTTGTTTCTTTCTATTTCTGTGACGAACTGAATTATCTAGTGAAGTAAGTTTAGGAATGCCACAAAATGGTCAAGTTCTCATGTCCATGAGGCCAAATGAAGATGTCGTCAAAATATCTCAGTCATAATTTGGGTTTCATCGGGGCGTTGTTCAGGGCCTTGGTTTCGGAATAACCCATGAATAGGTTGGAGATGACAAGTGATGAAGCGGAACCCATCATCACCTAGTTCACCTAGGTGATGATGGGTTCCATACATGTCACCTAGTTCACCTAGTTCACCAGCACCTAGTTCATTTCGATACGTTACTTCGTGAATTCAAATTTTCACAAAGGAAAATGTGCCATTTATCAGTTACTTCAAATTTATCTTCAGATTTTCCTCCTCAAAATTCGTCTCATTTTCAAACTTCTCCGACCGATATCAGAAGAGATTTGAAATAAACTCGTGAAATATGTCACCTTTTTCAACTGACTTATGGAACTTCGATGTAGTACAAGTTTGCTAGACTTTTGCAATTCAAAAGATACATTGTAGATTTATTGGTTGATCTTCAAATAGAAAAGGGTCTGAGTACTCTGAAGGTGTTGACCGTCTCTCTACGAAGGCGATCAAAAGTATAAGAAGGGATCAAAAGTATAAGATATAATCAATTTCCCAGTTGGAAAAGGATCATTTTCTTCTGACCTCAAGATAGGAATTGTAAGTCCAATTTTCAAGTAAGGTAATCAACTATGTTCCGAAAATTTTCGCCCAATAACGGTACAGTATATGATATGTAAAATAATCGAAAAATGTATATATATGCAAATGCTTTTTTTTCTCTCGAAATATAATGTCATAACAGAACACCAAAATGGTTTTCTGCCGAGAAGATTAACGGAGAGTGCAACTATTGCCCTTTTTAATTATACATATTCATTCTTCATTAGATATGAAAAAGTATGTAGGTGCCTCATTTTTTTGATCTGTCGAAATCTTTCGACTCAATTAATACCCACATTACAATTAATAAACTAAGTGAACTGGGTTTCCGTGGCAAATTTCTTTCCTGCCTGGCTTCATATTTTGAGGTCAGAAAAATTATTGTAAGAATTGACAATCAGAGGACTCTCTCACAAGATGTTGAGGCTGGTGTACCTCGAGGATCGATTCTTGGTCCGCTAATTTTTCTTTTATATGTAAATGATTTTCCCAAATACGTCAGCACTAAACACCTAATTCTATATGCTGATGATATGTCCCTTTTGCGAAATCTACCAAATTTCTAGGTATTTTTCCAGATAATAAGAGTATTTTTGAAGTTGTAGGTCATGTTATATTGAATTTTGTAAATACATCTTTGAAAAATGATCAATTTCCTGAAAAGCTCAAATTAAGTACTATAGTTCCAGTACCTAAGGTTACAAATACTAATGAAGTCTGCAATTTCCGCCCAATAAACACTTTACCACCACTTGAAAAAGTATTAGAACTAGCTGTATATAACCAATTCAGTACATATATTGAAAATAACAATTTATTAATGGAATATCAATCAGGATTCAGATCAAAGCATTCATGTGAATCTGCCCTCCAACTTACTCTGTCCAAGTGGAAACTATTAATTGACGAAAATAAATTTATAGTGGCAGTATTTTTAGACTTCAAAAGAGCTTTTGAAACAATCGACATTTCAATCCTTCTCTCTAAATTAGAATACTATGGTATTTCTGGCAATGTATTACAATGGTTTAAAAGTTACTTAGTCAATAGATCCCAATGTACGAAAGTCAACAATGTATTTTCGAGTGAAAGAAATATTAATACTGGAGTACCGCAAGGTAGTGTATTAGGTCCCCTACTCTTCATACTATACCTAAATGATATTAACTATATTCCAGACTGTGAATTCATAAATTTGTTTGCAGACGATACACTACTCGCAGCAAGTGATGTTAATTTAGATAATGCTATTCGCAAACTAAATATGAGCTTACTTAATATTACAGTCTTTCTGAACAGAAATAAACTTAAATTAAATGTTAACAAAACGAAAGCCATGATATTAACAACTCCATTTAAATATAATTCAATTGATANATAAAAATTATATTATTATTATTATAGCAGACTAAAATATATACTATTCAAAAATATGAGAGGAATATTGTACAAAAAGTACTTTATTTCCCAACTTGGTTGGTCCTAATTTTGAATGGAATACCTATGGAGGTATTTTTTGCCAATATAAGTTGTTCACCATAAATTTCTATCAATATGCTTCTTGGAATTCATTTCAACTGTTATAACTTGATTATGATTATTATTCGTACAACTGTTGGTGATGATCTTTCAGAAATATACATATAGGAAGACTTTTCTGAATTGAGGGGGTAAACTTATGTCGTGTTCTCATATCGCCTTGAATTTGAATGAAAAAGGAGAGAACCAAGGATAGATCCTTGTGGTATTCCAGTTGGAACATTTGGAAAGAAAATTTTCAAATGACTCAACACTTTTCAGATAAACCTCTCATCTCTGTCAAAATTTAAAAAGATATATTGTTTCGTCTATCAGAAATTTTCTGGTGGTGGAAAATATTCCATTGGAGATGGTTATCAATAAGTCGAAAGTTCCTTGTGGTGATTCTGAATGTATGTCATTGAAATATTTTGTCTCATCGCTAAAAATCGCAGTTGCTCCCCAACATAATTTATCTTCTTCAGGAGAAAAAGTGGAATCGGAACGGTACGAAAAACTGTACATGAAGAAGGTCGAGATGAGATGTCAAAACCAGTTCACTAAAGCCGCGCAAAGATGTCGCGGTATGTTTCAAAAAGGCTACGACGTCTGCTACGATACTGTAACCTGGATAGCTGCTTGGTTGCTTTGCTGGCCAATGAAGCTGGACTTCATCTGCAACATAGCGGAAGCTCTAGGTGGGGCAGGACGTTGCGATCCGTCGAAAGACATGAGCCCTGGATTTGGAGAAGGTTACGCCTACTTGAAGCACTCCAGATCATTTCTTTCGAAGAACTTCAAGGACGTCAGGTATTTGATGACGTATACAATGAAATTGAAAAAAATATACTCAAACCAATTATGTATCACCATTTGTCTTCCAGTAAACTGCAGTTTCTTGTCAAATAAAATTTTAACGTGTCTTCTACTACCATTTCCCTTCTCGAAATGACAACTAATATTTGCAACGTACTTCTGTGATATTGCTGAGATCTGTCAGACAAGTTTCCTTCAAAGATAGATCATTATTTTCATTGCCAATTATATTAAGCAAAAATACTGAAATAAAATACAAGCAACAACCAAAAAATAAGAATAAAAAATTGAACTATTAACACGAGATAAAAATGAAAAAAATTATCAACAAGAAATGAAAAATTAAAATTAAAAGATTCCAAACGAAGTTACTACACGACGTTTCGAGTGTTAGTATCCACAGTTGCCTTCGGGTGATAAGCGGACGTATTCCTTCGAGATCTGACTATTTATAGGTCATTCACCTATACCCTCTTCCTTCTCTCCGCTTCATCGGTTTTAACGGAAGCTGACCGTTTGGCGGGAGTTGGTCGTGTTCCGCTTGATTACAGGTTTCCATATATTGTGTATCTCTACGCAAGCTTGGCTTAATGCGTTGTTGGACAACGTATATGTGGCTTCTTTGAATTTTCTCCTGAACCAGTGTTTCTCCTTGTGGATGATTTCAGCTTGAGCCCACTTGATGTTATGTTGATGAGTCCAGACATGCCCTGCTATTCCTGATTTGCTGGTTTCTCCTCGCTGTGTGTGTTTCTTGTGCTCGGTATTGCGAACTTTCAGTGGCCTCTTAGTTTTACCGATGTATGATTCTCCGCATTCGCAGGGTATCTGGTAAATGCAATTCTTGGAATCGCAGTCCGCGTTTGGTGGCCTGGTTTTCGTGAGACTGCTACGGATAGTGTTCCCAGATCTGAAGCAGGTTCTGATGTTATACTTGGACCCAATCCTTCTTGATTATCCTCTGATGTAGGGAAGTACAAGCACTGATTGTGGCGGCTTCTTCTCCTCATGGAGCTCTTTCTGTCTTCTAGCTAAGGCCTGTTCCACCATCACTTTCGAGTAGCTATTCATTTGAAGGTCATTTTTGATGATGCCTAGTTCCTTTTTGGGACCTTCCTTTGTATTACAGAGCCCAAAAGCACGGTCTAGTAGAGTCTTGATGATTCCTCTCTTAGTCGATCGATGATGGTTGGATTTCTGGTTCAGATACTGTCCTGTGTGAGTGGGTTATCGATATACAGATGTTACCCATTTAGTGTTGGTCCTCTTCACCAATACATCCAAGAATGGCAATAGGTTGTAGACTTCTTTCTCCATTGTGAAAGTGATGGAAGGGCTCACGTTGTTGATGTGTTTCAGGAAGGTGTCTAGTTTTTCATTCCCATGGTTCCATATTATTAAGGTGTCGTCCACGTATTTCAATCAGACTCGGGGTTCCTTGTGGGCTTCTTCAATGGTCAGAGTTTCAAGCCACTCCATATATATTGGCTATAACCGATGGAAGTGGCGATCCCATTGGCAGTCCCTCATCTTCCGTAAAGAATTCGTCCTTCAGTTGGAAGTAGCAGTTTTGTAAACAGCATCCTAGTAATTCCATGATTACTTGTGTCGATGAGTTTGTTCTTCTTTCAGGTCCCCATCTTCGGATAGCTTCCTCTGTATGATTTGGAGTGCTTCTTCGACAAGGATGTTGGTGAAGAGACTTTCCACGTCGAAACTGATCGGCTGATCGTGCTCTTTGACTTCAATTGCCCCTAGTTGTTCAACAAAAAGCCTTAAATTTTTCACAATAAAATGCCTCGAATTTTTCACAAAAGATGATGTTTTTCCTTGCAGTAGTTTAATTATTGGTAGTAAAAATCTGGACAAGTTCTGAGTGGCTGAATCTCTGCTTCCGCTTCGGTGTTTTTTCACGAGATGGAGAATTCAAAATCGCAAATTACACATACTGACAGACCGGCTGCTATAGAAATCTACTCCCTCTTCAATGCTGTCGTCAAAGCCATAGAAATCTCCTTCAGGTTTTCTGATTTATCTCTTGAATTTGCCTCTAAGTGATCATTAGACCTTTGCCACATGATTTTCCAGGAAGCATAATTCATCTAATGAGTACATCATAGATGGATGATTCCTAATTGTAACGTCTAATGATTCCAAGACTATCAAGTGGTATAGCACAGATGATGATCGAATTGTGGACGTAACCAATTTCAATACATCTTCGACGTACATTCACCTTTCAAACTACTTTTCAATGCTTCAATGGCTTCATATTAGTTTGCAGCAGTCGGCGAAGAACTTTCGACAACTCTTCTTGATTGAATATTGGTCCCAAACCACTAAAATTATAACATAAGTATAGTATTTTGAAATAAAATCATCTCTTTCATCAGGCTCCAGTACAAACTGGGAAAACTCAAGCCTCTGACTGATATCAGAGATGCCAGAGATACAGCGAAAGCGATTCTTCACGATGTCAACGAGAAGAAGGCTATGCTGATGCAGGTTCTGAAAATTATCAAGAGGATACTAGCTTTCGTTTTTTTGAGGATAGTTTTGGAGTCGCAAAACTACCACGACAAATATCTTAGAGACATCGAGTTCGACAACATTTACATCACCAAGTATTTCAGGAAAATAGATGCTCGTAGAAAGGCCCAGGAGAAGCACACGTTACTACCGCTGAAGAAAATTGAAAGCCAGAAGCTGGTTGATCCGTTTTCCATGAAGCCTTTGAAAGCAGAACAGGAGAAGATCCGGTCTGAAGTTGTTATGATACTTCTGGAAGTCCTCACTATTACGATTCTTGTATTGTTGGATAGGCTGTTTTATGAAGCTTTGGATATCATACGGAGACATGCAAGAATTAACTATCTCCAAACTGGTCACCATGATTTGATGCTGGAGGTGAAAGGTAAATTTGATTCTAGGTTTCTTCGGCATGTGATATTACGAATGCAATCTATGATTTAAGTGTTTTTAGATCTTCCTTCAAAGTCATTAATCATGAAGCTGAATATTTCCTAAATAGGACTATGAAGTAGATGGTAACATTGTTTCCTGTGTTCGAATTTTACTAGTATGGAGTATGGAACTATTGAAGTAGCTAGACTTCAATAATTCCATAGTCCGTTAGTGGATGTAAGGTAGGTAGTCAGAATCTAGATTTTCTGGCTAAATGAGTTCAGAAACTCAGTTCTGAAGACTAATTGATACTTCAAATAATTCGATTATGTTTGATAAAAATTTTATCAAGTATGCAACAAAATTTTTAGGTTTATACATTGATGAGAAATTGTCATGGAATAAACATATTGAAAAAATTAGGAAGGAATATCTCCTCTCATTGGAATTTTTTACAAAATTAGAAACTTTATACCTTTGAAATTTAAAAAAAATATATATTGCAGTCTCATTTATTCACATTTGCACTATCTCATTTCTATTTGGGGAACAGCAGGTAAATCTATAATAAAACCTCTGAAAACCTTACGAAACAAAATAATAAGAAGCATTTATAAATTACCATAATTGGAATCAACATTAAACTCATATAAGCCAAACCTTTTATTGGACTTGAATTCACTCTATAAACTCAAAATTAGCTACTTCATTCATTCTGTAAAAAATAATACAAAGAAATAAAACTTTAATTTCATTCCAATTGGACATATTCACAATCATGTATTATTCCATTACAAAATTCAAATATCAATTGAAAAAAAAATCTATTGGCAGAATTTCATAGTTTGCATTTTATTTCTATTACACGTTTTCAACATATACTTTCTGTAACCAATTTCATTATTTGACTGCATTTCATTGGTATTTTTTCCTAGATATATGTTCTAGATATGTGTTCATTGTAAAGTATGTTATTTCTGTTATTTTATTATACTTTGTAGTTAGTTATAGTCCCTAATTATAAGCATTCATCGTTTCTTGGGACAATAAACTGAATTGAATTGAATTGAAATTTGCCATGTCTTCATTTAATACGTCAACGCTATCTCGCAAAATCTCATTTGTCTCATACTGTTTGCTTTGTTGTTGTAGGCAGATATTTTCTTTTTTCTCTTACATATTTTGGTTCTTCTCCACAACTTTACCTTTCCAAAGGAAATCTCGAGTATCCATTTCGCGAGGCTTTGAATGGAAAATATTTATTTCATATTTTTGAGGATTCTGGTAACCCTTCACTGGGATAATTAGGTCATTAAAATACTGGAGAGTATTGAAATTTTTCGTCTTCGGCCTTCACCTGATAAACAAACACTTACTTCAAAGCTTTAGCAGAGTCTGAGAAAGAAGAGCCGACAATCTGATGAAGACGTTAGAATCTCTATACGGAATCGAAAACCAAATAAAAACGTCTTCGATTCTGACTTTAATCATCAGGATATGATAGAAAATTCATGATTTTACTACTGTAGAGGAGGTTTCATTACGTTCCAATGCAAGCTACTGGGTAACTGCAATAGCAGAAGAACTCAAAGTCCAAGAAGAAAATCAAACATAGATTTTGTGGAAAGTTTCTCCGGGAAAAAAGCGATTTGAAGCAAATGGATATTCAAAACAAAACCGACAGCAACTGGATCAGCTGAAATATATAAAGCTAGACTGGTTGCGATAGAATATTCACGAAAAGCCGGTGTTGACTGTAAAGATACCTATATTTTCACCAGTTGTAATGTATAGTTCTATCCGGTTTCTACTTGACTCAGGCTGCTGAATATGATTTGATTGACTAAATTGGCTGCTCTATGCCGAAATACAGAATGATAAAACTTATATTTTGTCGAAAATGCAGGAAAAAGGTAAAGAAAGGAGTACATACTATGTTTTGATTACGCTATATTTCCGGAATAAGGGAATGATAGGTGACGAATGGAGCTAACAGATGAAAAAACTTGTCACCTTCTGGAAATACTATATGGATCGAAACAGTCAAGTAGTTATTTGGTTTTCTTCCGGATTTTGCCAAAATATTGACGCCAGCCGTGAAGCCTATATTCAGTCAAGTGGTGTTTGGAGAAAAGGATTCAGTTTTGAACAATCCGAAATTTCAACAATCAAAAATGGATTTCTGCGTTCTTCAGGTTTCTAACCGTTCACAATCTGAAAAATAAATCAATGTGGATCAACAGAAATGTTGCTCCCAAGTGTGATGAAGGGCAAACTGAACAGTTCATCCCTTTGGGAAATATGTTATTTCTTTTAGACAAATGTCAATAAAATGAAAGGTCAGAAACCCAAAAAATCACCAAGGAACATTGACTCCCACTCATAATCAATGTTTTTTAAAGAATCCTTGTGTTAATTCATTTTATTCATTATCACAATACTTGCAATGTATGTTTCCTATTTTTTTGGCAATAGTAACAGAAAACAATATATGGAATATGATCTCACCAAGAGATTTGAATGAAAGATCTTAGGTATGAGATGTTCAACACGACAGAGATGTCAGAGATTCCGTATAGGAAGCAGTAGAAAACCTTATGTATGCCGGTCAATGCACAAGACCCGATATTTATTTTGCATTTGGAAAATTAGCGAGATTTTCTCTCTCTCTAATTTTATGGACGTTGCTTCCCACTCGTGCGCATTTGTCTAGGCTCCTCCTATCAAATTGACATCAGTTTGACAGAAGCTTCGTCGGTAGGGGCGCAGCGGTCTTGCTCGAAGCAATCCTGCCACCCCTTTTTTTGTCACACTTTCTGTAATAAAAAATGATTTTTTACTGTCGCCTCCTGATCCGGAGACCTTCTGATTTTTTACATATATATTTGTTGGGTCGCCTCCTCTTCGGGAGACCTTCTGATTTTTGAATTCACATACATAGACCCTTTACGTGGTTATCCGAACCACTCGGCCTCGATGTCAGCGTGAATGGCCCCTTTATGTGGTTATCTGAACCACTCCGGCCTGGATACCGGCGTGAATAAAGGGGTCCCTTAAACTTCACTTTTTAAAAACTCTCACACATTTCAGTATTTATTACAAGGACTAGCACAACACAACACAAAACGGAGCCCCACGAAAGCACATGGCATTCACGTACCTTCTTTGTGGACGGACGTTATCAGGACATCCGTCCACTACCACGATCACCACGAGACTCTCAGCGAGATTTTGTATGATCCAAATATGACTTATTGGACAGCTGTCAAATGCATTTTCCGATATTGAAACGTCGAAAGTGAAACTGGTGAAAAACTCGCTGAGAACTGGATACTAATGACAAAAAATCCACAAATAGATATACTTTCGTGCTCTGTGGGGAAGCTACAATGGCTCTAGTAACAAACAAAGCGGAATATATGGCTCTGAGTTCAGCAACACAAAAATCAATACTTTTGAAGAACTTTAATCTAGAAAAATTCCCCGATACCACCGCTGAAATTAAATTATTTTATGGTAATACGAGATCAGTCGACGTGAGCAGAGACGGTGAATGTCATTCAAGAACCAAACGGTAAAAAGGTTTGTGATAGACCGTACTAGAATGGGACCCATTTCATGAAATTACTAGTTTGTTCCAATCAATGTGACGATGACTCTAATGATAACCTGGCTTAGATTACTTTTTAGTGAAACTGAAAACTAAAAATAATTTTCCGTCAAAAGATTAGGTTGTTCGGAGCCACGTAGTTTCTTATTCGTTACTTTTGTCGGATGTACAAATTGATAATGTATGTGTTTTCTTCTATTGTACTAACTCTAGATGCATATCCGACTATAAACAATGTCCGAAAATCCCTTTAATAATAAATAAATAATTATGTCCAATTTTCTGTAGTCACTTTTATAATTGCTACAAGGACACAAGTTGATACAATAATAATATAAAAGCAGAGTCAAATACTAACAGCATATTTAATGCGGTCGGTCGCCTTCGGAAATATCTACCGCAGCAGTAGACGAAACCTCAGGCATAAAGCCTGCAGAACAAGGTCAAAGGAACAGAAAAATTGCTTTCACACAAAATATAAACAATTCAATATATTTTTCATAGCTATTAGTGCTTATCCACGACAGAAACATTATATTGCACACCCGGATGTACATTAATCACGTAATTTCTGAGCATCACCACAGAAAAACAAATAACATTTGTCAATTTTGGTATTGTGGTTTGAAACATGACATATCCTGGATAATATTCTTAATAGAATGATATTTCATCATCGATATGACCTCACCAATGACTAATCCTTCAACATTTTCAGGTACCGGGTTAATAGCGTCAGTGTTGAGATCATTAGTGAGAGGATTCAACGTCAAAAAGCGAATACGAATCGAAAGAAGCAACGTTATATGCCTACCCAGACCAAAATTACTGTTGAATTATTATTTACTGAAAATCTACGGCACGTACTTTGTCGTTGTCGTTATGATGTTTGCCCAGGCGTACTCACAAAGGTTGAGAAGGTTGATTTGCGCCTATTTTTACAGGAAACGAGAGAAAAAGCGAGTGCTTCACTTGTACAATGAAACTTTGAAGCGAAGGAAGGGATTTTTCAGGTATGATTGCTTCCAATACGGTCAGTGATCTCAGGGTTGCTTTCTCAAGGTGTAATACCTAGCGAAAGCTATGTATGGCAATATATATTCTAACTTCGGGAAAAGACAGATTTCTTCAATTCAGAATTTTTCAAAATGCCGGATCTGTCTCTCAAACAATGTAAAATTATGGCAAGACCGAGAGAGTTTACATAAACACTATTCATCGGCGTGTTTTGAAAAGATGTACAGTCAGATATATTTGTCACGTAGCTGAAAATCGCTTAATTTAGCGAAATAGGTTTTTTGATGACCTCCGTCGAACGTGGACGACGGGTTAGGATGAATGGTTTGAGAAACGATGGGACGAAGCACTTATGATTTCTTCCTGGCTTTTTGAAAGGCAGAGAAGACAGAGAATGATATTGAGAGAAAGAGAGTTTACATATTATTTTGTCCGAGTTCACTTTCTGTTATCAAAGAGGTTATATATTGTTGTGTTCCTAGTGTAGGTTGTTTAGCTGGAGTTCAGATTATAATTGAAAAAGAAAGCAAATTTGAAGTTATACATCACTCTCCCTAAAGTGAAATTGAAAGTATTTTGTACTGAGTTGGTGCGTTTGTAGTTGTTTATGAGGTTGAATCAATAGCGAATAGCTCAGTCGAATTTGCGGCATTTTCTTTGTTATATTTTCTTTCATTTCATTTTCTCTTGGACTAGAAAAATACCATCGTCGTAGAGTGAAATGAAGTGTAGTAAAGAAAAAAAAATAGAGGCTTCTTAGTCTACCTGCCGAAAAGAGAATAGTAAGTGGAAATTATTTTAACAAAGATTGAAATTCAGTTAGAGCATATTCGGCATCGTTCTGGAACCATATAATGAGAGAGAACTATAAGTATGTATACCAAATGATCAGGTTTCAAAAAGACCTCCTCTTTCGAAATTGCCTTACATCCAAAATTTGATGTGGAGAAATCCGTATAGACTTGAAAACTGAATATGATTCGAGAAATCAATAAATGAACGAAAATAATATCGATAAAACTTATAACCTCTCATGCACAGTACGTTATTTCTCTATATGAAATGAATATTTGCCAAAATTTCAAAAACTCCTTCTCTATGAAGCTTTTGTTGAATCATAAAATTAAATCTTAGAAAAAATCATCAATAAACTGTCGCATGAGTTCTTGGAAAAAATTGCATTCATTTCAATCGGGTTTTAGATTTGGCATTCACAAAACAGTCGACAGCAAAGAACTATATATTCTTGTTTCGAAAGATTGTACTAGAGATCGAACAAAAATCTTTTTTTCATACAGAAACTCAGAGCTTATCGACCTCTCGAAAATTTTCATTGTAATGAAAACTTTTCTCAATTTCCATTTTATAAATTGAAGAACTTCCTTTTATACGTCTATATGCATATATGTACATCATTGTACATATGTCGAATGTTAACAAACATTCGTACAACTCGATATATAAAGAAATATATTATCGACATGATGAAATGATTCAGAAAGCATTTTTGTCTTAGAATTTAGATCGATTATTAAAAATGTATTTCTTGGAAAATGTCTCTGCCTAAATTCACCCGGTAATTTTTAGTAATAAGTAAAAAAATCATCTTTATACTGGTGTATTTTATGTATTACCTGTATGAATATATTCATTGCAATTTTTCCAGATTATGAAAAGTGAAAATCCCCAAAAGGTCGATAAAAAATTATTACACAGTCTTCGATAATAGTTGCCATTTCTTATGGCTTTCGCAAAACGTTATTCAAAACTCGTCGAAAACTCATCAGAATCTGTGCTGGTGTGCCACAAGGGTCGATTCCTGGACTCACACTATTTGTGTTCTACCTTTCATAATTTCTCAAATATATACAGCATATTTGAATTCACAGTTACCTACTCAAATAACACTCAAATATTTTTGCATTGTTTCAAAAGCTCGTCAACAGAACAATAGGAAAATTTTAAATGGTCATTGAAGGAAATTATTGGTGGGATATTCCGGTACTACTATTACTACTACTTTTCTCTTCCCATTTATTGATACTCTCCCTCTTTCTTTATAATTGTCTCTGATGATTTTAGTTTACCAACGTATTGAATAAACTAGCACAGCATCCAATACTCAGACCATAATTCTCATTTCAGATTCATGAGAAAAAAAATAAAGGGCTTAGTGCGGGAACATAGACTGAAGGAAGACTTCGGGGTCTTCGAAATATTACGAATGAACTACCCGAAAATGTGCGATTGGTTGAGGTTCTTCGCTTGTGCAAGAAGAGCATGTCTGATATGCAAAGACCCGGAGCCAAGAAAAAACAGCAACTTCGTGGAATGCCCCAACGAGTTTTGCCACTTTTTATATTGCAAAGAATGCTGGAAGGATATGGGAGGTGTTTGCTTGGCATGTCAAACCGAAACAGAGGAAACCACCAGTGGATTTGAAGATGATGACAATGAATATACGGACTGACAATAGGTTTTTATCAGATGGTTGTACATTCTAGTTTGTTTGTGACATATAAAGTGATTTTTGATTAATAGTTTAATCGACAGAGATGAAGAGTGTTGCTATATTTGCTATGGTTAATTTGTTCATAATATATCACGAATATAAAAGTACTTTACTGACGATGTATAATACACTACATGAGATTATTATTGCAAGCGAGCGTTTGTACATCTAGTGCGCAGGAAATTAAGAAAGCTCCAACTACATTTGACAAGCTATAGCCCGGTAAGTCTTCGATGATTTGCTGGTAAGAATAATGTTAGCCATTCTCATCAGCCACAACTCAGCACCGTGCTGATGGGTGGAGTCTAATATACAAGATGTGCTGGAAAGTTTTCAGGTTAACACACAGATATTGCTCTTAGCTCCAAGATTTTTTAACCTAACCTTTGAAAAACACGTGTACAAATTTCAAAGCTGTTGGACTATTGGTTTGTGTGGAGTAACTTCTGTTTGTTTGCAGAAAATGGATGAAAAGGAATTTTGGGAGTTAATAAATAAAGGATTTATTTTTGTCAAAAAAATACTGTTGAAGCCAAGTCTTTGCACCAGGTAAATCAACGATCAAGAAGTGGTTTGCTAGGCAATTCTATTCAATAATGAAATACGAAATTTTCAGTTCAACTAATAGTTGTACCACATTTACAATCACCAATACATGGTGGCGGACCACAAAGGGTATCATTAGGTTTTGGTTCAGCTCGCATTGAATACAAAAATAAAAACAATCAGCACCTCATTCGGTTCGTAATCAGAAAAGTCATCGAATAATAATAATCTCCTTAATAAATAATATTTATTAGTAATGCAACATAAAATTATAAACACCATAGGTATCACTTTTCACATACTGATAGAGATTGGAAGTAGGTCTATATATTTCATATAAATTACAATAAATATGTGTTTGGTTTATTAGATAGAATGATATATGACTAGATATCTTCACTAATTTTTTCTACAAGAATCAACAACAAAACTCAAGATATAAAAAATCAACAATCGTAGTTACAGTTATGAACCAAGTCGTCCTTTTGCTTAAAAAAATAATTGAAAAAGCAGAATTTCACATTTACGCTATAGGGTGTCGGGAACTCCATTGGTTCACCCTGTATCTACCAGGTAAAACGTCGACGTAACCTATAAAAACATACAACTGTGGAAATTATATTTACAATATCAAAAACACAACTTGCGAACTCTTATGATACTAACGATATAAAAGTGTTCGAGCAGTTTTTAAAATTGTGCTGATGTAAGGCTTCCAATCGAGGGTTTCAAAATTATTGTCAGTTTAATTTATATCTGAAAGTTACATGGCGCTATCTACTGATTAATTTAGAGGTTTGTTCGTTTGTCGAAAAACTGTTCTGAGCAGATCACAGTTATGTTTCAGGAATCAGTTCTCAGGAATGACCTCATATTTTTATTTGCCAGGGGAGGATTGTAAGCAGTTGAATACAAAATGAACAGAAAATAACTGAGGAGATAACTGAATAACATGTGTCACAATCATCAAGTGACTTGGATCGGTTTTAGTTGGAAACACATCAATTTCATTCTCCCCACAAATGTTTTTCAGTTGTGGTTTGGTATTGCTAAAATACCGATATGCTTCTGGATGAATTGTTTCTGGAGTGTACTTTAACGACTGGAAATAATAATATCGAAGATATTTTCCTGGTTTGTTGACCGTGGTCTGTAGGTTTTCATGACAGCGAAAATATCTACTGCAGTCATAGAAGAAACGTCGGGCATAAAAATCTGTAGACCACGGTCAGAGTTGACAGTGGGACATAGTTTATATTGAAGAACAGTTGATATGTTCCACGTTCCACTTGGGTGCCCTAAATTCGTCTAGAGCAATATTTCTCTAGGTATTTCAGTCCATTCAATTTTCGCAAATTGTGTTTCACTAGCGGATGGTAGAGGTACATTTATAAAAACTAAAACTAACTTACATTTATCACTAACCTATTATTTGATCATTGGTTGAGGTACCAGCCAATAAGTTTTAGAGAGTGAGCATCACATTGATTCATTAAATATACAGTACAAATAATAATTTCATATAAAAGCTATTATATTATTCTACGGTTTATTGTTTATTTTATTTGTTTGCGGTATGAAAGATGAGAGTCTAAGACTACGGGGTATTGCAAAAGTTTTGATATGGTGTGGGATATTTTTGTTTTGGGTGGTCAAAAGTGGCGACACATCAAATGCCAAAAAGTAATACCAGCAGAAATTGCAGAGAATTCGATTCCTAACTTTATTCAACTCAGTGGCAGTGAAATTCACTAAATACTGTGAATCTGCTAGTAATACAGTCTGTAATATTTGTATCGACTGAAAGTTCTTATGATGTATATCACTTGCTTTTCATTACATTTTCAGTAACACAATATAACACAAATATAACCTCTCCAAATTGATTATATTTTAAGAATACTTCATAAAAAGTCAGGTCCAAATTGAAAACTGACGCGTATTATCAATGATGTGCTGTTATTTCCACTTACAAAATTAAGATGAGATTAAAACCAGACACTTACCTGTGCGATGAGTTATTTATGAGTTATTAATTTATTTATTATTTATTCTGTAATCGTAAAAACACTGTTTCAACAGATGAATGCTCTTAAATTTCCGAACAAATTTGGGTACAAAGAAGCTTGTGGTACATGTATATCGTTGAGCGTTATATTTGAGTTGTAACTAATAATTAAAACCCTGATTTATCAATTCAAGTATATATTTTATGAAATTTTATCCAAGAGATGCAAAACAAACTTGAAATGGTTTACCAATTCACTGATGAGGATTTCTTCTCAGATACAGTAAACATTATACTATCTGCCATTTTATTTGTTGAACAGAAAATCTTTTTTGACATTCCATCTATTTTTAATATTCTAGCCATAATAGATGGATATTTCGCTCTTTGAGATTGAAACCAGTAATCAGTTATTCATGAGTTATCAATGAGTTAATAATAAGTTATTCTATAATCGTGAAAACAATGTTTTAAGAAATAAATGATGTTAACTTTCCGAACAAATCTGGGTACAAGGAAGCTTGTTATACATTATAAGTATCTGCCATTTTATTTGATTAACATAAAATATTTTCTGACATTACATCTAGTAGTTACGAGTTACGAGTGTCCATCTAGTAATTACAAGTATGTTATTTTTAATATTCTAGCCATAAAGGATGGATATTTTGAGGAAAGTGCTTTTTGAGATCAAAACCAGACACTTACCAGTAATGAGTTATTCATAAGTTATTAATGAGTTAATAATGAGTTATTCTGTAATCATAAAAACAATGTTTCAATAGATAAGTGCTCTTAACTTTCCGAACAAATCTGGGTAGAAGAAAGCTTATTATACGTTATACTATCTGCCATTTCATTTGATCAACATATTTTTTTTTGTTATTCCATGTAGTAGTTACGAATTATATATTATAAGTATGTTGTTTTCAATATTCCAGCCATAAAGGATGGATATTTTCAGAGAAGTGCTCTTTGACAAAAAAAACAAAATTATAGCTTTTGAGATGTATGGAAAAAAAGCACTGATAGCTAGAGAACCAATTGATAATTATTTCTGAGGAATTGAGCAACTAGAAACTGAAATATTGGAAGAATATATCAAAACAAAACCCACGGGAGTGGATTGGACGAAAATAGTGATTTGAAGATATATTTGAAAAATATATTGATATTTTTTTTAGGGGGTCAGTTGAAATTTTTTTCAGGCTCTCAGTTGAGATTAAGATTGTACCTGTTTTACCATACTCGTTTGCTTCTTTCCAATTATAATCGAATATTAGTCTATTCGAGGAAAATTTTGAAATCTTGATTTTCCGAACTTCTTCTTGAATATCAACCATTTCAGCTCAATGTTTTTAGTACTTTGTTTACCTGACTCTTACGTATGGATTATATTTTAAACCAGTTATGTTGGATAAGGTAAGTTCTGTTATTACAGAGGTAACATAATATATGCAAGAAACCTGAAGTCTTCCAAACAAACGCTTTACAATCTATTATGTACTCAGACATAGCAGGATTTTCCGGATTTGTTATAATCCTGTTACGCTCTGAATTGAATTTGTGTAGTGATTAACCAACCACAAGAACTTTCCACGCGAAGCTTCAGGAAATTTATCAAGATGATGTGTCACCGTGCTAGTTTTCCTGATATTTTTCTAAACTTAATTTACAAAATATATGTGAATTCATCTAAAAACTTATAAAAAGTATAATGACTTTTGACTAGTGCGTTACATATGAGTTCTTGTTGTATGAAATTGGTAATGATGGTGACGGATTGGCAGGGGAATCGACATACCTTTATTCATAATAACTTTTGGGTTTTCAGGATAAGCTGCCTTAATTTGATATTGAAGATTTTGTTCCACATGTCTTCAATGATACCCAATTCTGTCCCATTGAGGACAGGAGAGAAATATCCAGTTGAGTTGCCTCCGAGAAGAATAGTTCAAGAATTTCCTTATGATGTATTCAACTTGGATAATACACATTTTGTTGGAGCTTTATAGAATATACTAGAGAAGCTCTACATATAATTTAATTGAATATTCCAATGAAACATTTTCCCATTCACGAGTTTGATTTTGAAATTCATAGCCATTCATCGTTATACTACAGCGAAAGGAGCAGCTAGCATGAGAAGGAAATTACATATCTATATGGCCATTATTAGGGAAGGAATACATGCTGGTTTGACATAGTCAGCGATCCTGTTGATATGCGACATCTTCGATATACTTGCATAGATTTCATAGACCTATTTCTTGGAAAACGGTGGTAATTTGAGAACAGGGTCATATCTATATTTTATGGTAATTTGAAATAAGGTCATACCTATATTCGCAGGGTCTACGAAGACCCTGCGAATAGAATCGATAGAAAACTCGCCCAGTCATGAACGAAGATACCATATGGCGGTGCTAGCGCCAAAATCAAAAAATGTTTTCACTGTCTCTGCATTATAACTCATTCAAAAAACATTTCATTTTGACATTTCCAATGAATGGTTTTACACGTGTTTCACTATACAACAGCTTCTTCAGGCGTGTCTATAACCTCTTGTTCATCTTCTTCAGGTTCCGTCAGTCTAAACTTGTATAGACACGCCTGAAGAAGCTATTGTATTGCTACAGATATACAGTAGGCTCTGCTATACAATAGCTTCTTCAAGATTCTTCAGGCATGTTTATAATAGTATAGATACGCTTGAATAAGCTAATATATAGCTATACAATAGAAGCTATTAAATAGCTTCTGCTATACACATAAAGCTTGCTATATATGTTGTATAGCTTCTTCAGGCTTCATGTTTGAAGGAGCTGTTGTATGTTATATACGCCTGAAGAAGTTGTTGTCTGTTATATACGCCTGAAGAAGCTATTGCATAGCTTCTGCAAAGCTTCTGCTATACATTAGCTTCTTCAGGCGCGGCTATACTAGTATAGGAAAACCTGAAAAAGGTATTGTATAGCGAAATTCATGTTGTGTTTTTGTTAAATTGTTTAGTGAAAATCTCACAATAAAGTGCTTCTTGGATACTTTATGGATTTTCATCAAGTAGCGGCCGATTTCATCACATATTATTACTTATTCTGTTATTAAAATGATTTTTTTCATGGATGAATGGGTGGATACTTTCATTCCAGTCATTTCAAGAATATAACAAGATGTTGGTTCTCAATTTCTGACATATTTAGTGACATCAACAGAATTGAAATGTCCTTTCTGGATTTGCAACGTCAAAATGAATAAAGATTTTGGAAAAGGACCCAATTCAACCTGGAAAAATTAGAATTAGAATCGAATTTTTGTTTTTCCTGTAAATCTCTAAAAATAAGCTCAGATTTTTCAACACTAGGATAATAGGGGTCTTCATAATAGACAACTTTGCCTCCATTAAGCTTTCTCCATTTTAGAGATCATGTTCTTACTCAAAGTTTACTCCTTACAGGGTAAGGAGTAAGTATGTAGGACCAACTTCAGTAAATTGAAACCCGAATTCAGGATAACGGATCCAACATTCATCGTCACCGTAGAGAAACTAGTGTGTAGATTCTCAGAGAATGAAGGCAATCAGAATAAACATTTCTACTAACAAAAATTATTGAATTTTCTTTTAGAGCCTGTATTGAAAGAGTCTTCAATATTGGTCAGTCTTTCAAAAGAATAAAGACCCCCTCAGTAATATATTCTCCAACCCTTTGACCTACACCCTCTGAATCATTCACCGAACTCTCTCATCGCTATTTCCCTATCAAAATCCCTAATATCCAATTTCCGCCAAACCGATTCCCCTTTCATCCTCTGCCATCCTCCTTAAACAACATGAACTACTTACGACGTGTAATGATATAATTCCCCAGATTTCCTATTAATCGCAGTGTAAATTGGTTCGTATTTTATTGGTTCTCCAGGTTTGGAGTGCAGTCTTTTGATATACGGGTTGTGGTTGTTCGTGATGAGCTTGACTCCATTGTGGTGCGTCGGTATGGTAGAATGCTGCCTTGGGAATATGTTACAACTGTTTCCATTCATCAGCGTCGTAGAAGGCCCACTGGAGCTAGTGTGCTGAGGCAGCGGCATGGTCGAACAGTTAGGGTAGACGTTCTGCATCGGCTGCGTGGGGTAATGCGGCAAAGTGGCAGAACACGACTGCATATGGCTCAGCTCGGTTTTATCCGTGAAGGAGGTCATGCGCATGTTGGTGGCCCGTCCATAGGGGTCCTCTTCCAGGATAGCGGGGGCTATCACCTCCACCTTGCTAGGCCTGACAGATTTTCTCCTTATAACCACGGTGCTCTCCGCCTGCGGTTCTCCCGGAGGGTCATTCAGGTTGATCAAGTTCTGAGAGTTGTCACTCTGCGACGATTTCCAGTCTGGTTCCTTGGTGAGGTTTCCTTTCGAGCTGGACTGGTGGTGTTCGCTATCATTTGAGTGGATTCCGCTAGAGGTCTCACTGTGGTTGCTTCCAGGACCTTCCGGGGGTGAATGAGAGCTCTCCGTGCTCACCGAGTCTGATCTACCGGGTCTTTCTTCGTGAGGGATTATTCCAGAATCTGCACGACGCAAGCAGCGTGGCGCTGCTCCAGTCTGGACCTGGAAATATCATTGAGATCATTTTTTGTTAATCGACTATTTTAGCTGTTGTTTCTCTTCAAATAACACGCACATACGTTTATTCGCTAAAAGATAAATCAGGAGAAATATGTTGTTTACATATATAGTAAGTGGCAAACATTTTCATTATCAAGTGATAAAGTACGCTCGACTAAAAAGTTGATGAACTTAGCAATCTGTACGAACTGTTCAGGACATATTGTTCGTAAAGTCAGTCCTAAGCTTGTGGAAAAAAAGGGAGACATTCACTACGGCACCGGAGGTTGGAGTAAGTCCACTATATCTGCTGCAGGCAACAAGTGATGCAATTGAACCGGTGTTTGTGTTTAATAAACCCTACAAAAAACAAATCAAGCAGAACACAGAGTCAGATGCTACAAATGCAATACGGATTTATACAGATGGCTCAAAAATCAAAGAAGGCTCAGGATGTGGAGTGTACTCCAGATCACTAAGCCTAAGGATTAAAGGGGGAATGGGAAGGAATACCAGCGTGGTCCAAACAGAACTGGCTGGTATCTCAATCGCCACAAAAGAAATAAACAAGAAAGGAAATTCTGGCAGAAACATAACAATCGGCTCTGATAGCAGACAAGCCTTGAACAGACAGCGTGTTACCTCAGGGCTAGTACTAGAGTGCCACCAAGATTCAGCCAAGGTGGGTTAAGGTGGGTTAAAGGGCAAGACAGGAGTGAAGGTAATCACATTGCCGACTCTTTAGCCAAGGAAGCGGCTGGACTAAGAATTTTAGAACCTACGGCCTGATGACTTCGACCCATGCTCAATCCTTGAAGAGATGGAATGGAATCAAAGGATGTAATCTTGCCATGATCACTTTGGGCGAGCCTGGGAAGCTGGCGATGACGATGACCAGGAAAAAACTACGCCTTACAGTAGGATTTCTGACTGGCCACTGTCAACTAAGGAAATACCTCCATAATATGGGGCTAGTGGACACACCTCTACGCAGGATGTGTGAACAGGAATATGAGGCTGTCAGGCATGTCCTGTGTGAGTGTCCGGAGTTATCGTCAATGAGAGAGTGTGTATTCGGAGAGTCTTGGCCTACACCTGCCGTTATAAAGAAGATGTCTCCCAGCGACCTGTCTACCTTCCTGAAAAGGACAGGATGGACGATGACCTAGGAGGACAACTCCTCGGGAGGATGTGCCTAAGCCTAAGTGCGTGGGCTTACACTCACCCTCCCTACTCTACAGATACAGAGATACAGAAGTCCACTATATCCCTGGTCTATTGTGGGAGGCAACTGAAAATGGTGAATGACTCTTTGGTGTTTTGTGACCTATGCCTTCGCCTCATCAGGTATCATCAGCGTAGCCTCTGGTACACCATGTGATCTCTCAGAGCAATTAGAATTGTATCCATGCAGGAAACTCCTCAGATGTGGCCACCAGTTTTCCCCATGCTTGTGGAAACTGAATAAACCATGTGTATTGGGTATTTTTGTATAGAGGTGTATAACATTGAAATGGAACAGAACAAAGATGAATTTTTAAATTCCTATAGAGTGGCCTGCCCGATCTCTTGACCTGAACCCTCTGGACTTCTTCTTGTGGGAGTGTCGTCAAATAAATCCAATTATGTTGAACAATATCACAGACGGTTTTCAGTCAAGATTGTATTATTGTATGGAAGTCAATGGAGGACAATTTGAACATTGGATTTAAACACGCAGATTTGATTTGTTTGATTGTAAGCATGATGATGAAACAATAAAAATTTTCAAGAATGTAATTATTTGACGATTTTTTGAGTTTGTAAAAAAGGCTTAATAAAAATAGGCTTGTACGTTGTAAAAATAACCAAACTATTCAAGGTGGCTCATTCGAGCTGCAAAATAGATTTTTGGCAAAAACGGTTCATCAAAGTTACGTTTTTCACACCGTTGTAAACAGGCTTGAAAAAGACCTTTCAAATAAAGTATCACTCAACCCCTTTCCCCTATTCAAGTTTGAGGGGTTGAAGAGCCCCCTATTACAGGGTTGCTCGTTCAAACATAAAGAATACGTCAAAAGATGTCCCCCAAACAAAATCATTCGACGTGTTTCGGGAAATTTTTCCACTCACTATGGGATAAGAAATATACGGGGTGGCTTGTCTGAAAGGGATACCCTGTATATCCATCACGCAGTGTTTTTTGAAGGCTTCGAAGTTGTTCAAGCTGAATTTAAGTAGTCTTCTGGTAAGAAAGAAAATATCTATTCTGTATGACAGACTGAGAAGGCCACATAAACAAAATACAAGTGCAAATTCTTCCGATACTGCTGTCGCTGTTGCAATCCTTTATTTTTTCTTATTTCATCCTGGTAAAAAGTCGATACGGAGTATGATTGAGTGTATCGATAACACTATTATAAAATAAATGATTTGTTTTGACAGTCAGTATACTCATCACTTTGCACTCAATAAAAAGTTGGACCAATAGAAAATGTTGACGTATCTCGCAAAAATGCTATGAATGTGAATATCATTAAAAGCTCCAGAGAAAATTCTTTAATAATAAAGATTTCAAGAAACAGTGTAATTTCAGAAAATTGCACACCAATGCATACATAGAAATCTACTCACTTGATTCTCGAAGTTGTGTACGATAACTGAAGGCTCTACTTCGAGCAGAGGACTTCTTTCTTCGTAAGCAGTTGGAGGTTCGAAATCCTGGTTGGTGCTAGCATAAGTTATGTGTTCATCATGAACACAAGCCAGAAGCTAAAGCAAGCAGACAGAACAACGATTAGTAGTTAGTTTGGAGAAAATATGATGATGAACATTGATGAACTTGTGAATATTTAAAGAAAAACTAGATGAAACTAGATGAACTGTAACAACATCTGGTTTTGGAAAACTGATAGGACATGGTAGCCGAAGAAATCATTTGAAACTGAACGGAACTTCAATTGTATATACATTGGTTAGTATCAAATATTAGGATTGTTGCAACATTAACATATTTTCAGCCTACTCCACAACTGAACAGTTCAGTGAATGATCATTGAATTTTTTGTGCAGACGCACCCCTTAACTTTTGAACGTAACAAGTTATCAATTTCGGATGAGATCTGTAAGAAAAGAAATAATTTTTAGTACTTTTTGACCCGTGGGTTGGACTCTTTGTATCTATAGAGCAGGGAGAGTGAGTGTAAGCCCACGCACTTAGGCCACATGTGACCCATTGTCCTTTCCAGGAAGGTGGATAGCTCTCTGGGAGACATCTCCTTTATATCGGCAGGTGTAGGCCAAGACTCGCCGAACACACACTCTCTTATTGACGATAACTCCGGGCACTCGTATAGGACATGCCTGACAGTCTCATCTTCCTGTTCACACATCCTGAATAGAGGTGTGTCCATTAGCCCCATATGTGTAAGGTGTTTCCTTAGTTGACAGTGGCCAGTCAGAAATCTTCCTATTAGGCGTAGATTTTTTCTGGTCATTGCCAGATATTTCTTTGGTGCCAGCTTCCCAGGGTCGCCCAAGGTGATCCTGGCAAGATTACATCCTTTGATTTCATTCCATCTCTTTAGAGATTGAGCATGGGTGTAACTTTTGACTAGTTCCGCAATTGTCGAAGTCATCAGGCCGTGGGTGCCACTTGGTCCTAAAATTCTTAGTCCAGCCGCTTCCTTGGCTAAAGAGTCGGCAATGCGATTACCTTTACTCCTGTCATGCCCTTTAACCCACCTCAGGATAATGTTATTATCTACCGAGGCTTTGGCTAAATCTTGGTGACACTCAAGTATCAGCCCTGAGGTTATACGTTGTCTGTTCAAGGCTAATAGGGCTTGTCTGCTGTCAGTGCAGATTTTTATATTTTTGCCAGAAATTCCTTTCCTGGTTATTTCTTTTGTGGCGATTGAGATACCAGCCAGTTCTGTTTGGACCACGCTGGTATTTCTTCCCATTCCCCACTCAATTCTAAGGCTTAGTGATCTAAAGTACACTCTACACCCTGAGCCTTCTTTGGTTTTTGAGCCGTTTGTATAAATCCGTATTGCATTTGTATCATTTGACTCTATGTTCTGCTTAATTTGTATTTTATAGGGTTTATTAAACACAAACCTGGGTTCAATTGCATCGCTTGTTGCCTGCAGCAGAGGTTGCGCAGTAAGCACTTCCCGCCATTGGCCCAGCCTCAATTGACCCATTTCTACTTCGAGGTTTACCCCAGCCTTGCGCAATCGTACCATGGCCATTAACGTAACCTCCTTAACATACAGATCCAGAGGGGTCATACTCGCGATTACTTCCATTGCCACGGTTGGTGTTGTTCTCATGGCTCCTGTGTTGTTTAAACAAGCCATTCGCTGTATTTGATATAATTTTTGGATGTTCGTTGCTTGTAGAACTTTCGGTCCCCAAGCAATGACTCCATACGTTAAAATAGGTCTTATTATTGCAGTGTAGATCGTGGGTTGGGCTACCTATCGGGCGCGTCTCCAGGTGGCGGATAGGGGAACGGCCAGGGGACTGGGGACCCTGCCCGGGAAGCTAATGTGGCTTTACGGACGGGGTCGACGGGCTCCTGGTCAGTTGCAGAAATGAGTAGGGTGAGGAGAATTAAAACTCCCCAAAAGCCTCTGCAAAATATGGCACTGTGGACCAGCCTACTCAAGCCAAGGTGTAAGGAATCGTGCGGACAGCTGAATGACCGCAGAGTGATATGCGGTCATGAACGATCCCCTTGGGGAACTGGGCGAAACCTCATTGTACCTTTGGTAATGCTGGGCTCTGCCAGAGGTGACCAACCTTACTACCTTACTACTCCTTACTTACTCCTCGAGGGAATACACATGAATGAAACAACACAAAAATAGAAACAACAAAAACAAAAACCAATCCCGAGGCTGGACAGAAGTGCTCATCTCAATCTAAGGCGGTGGCTGGGGATGAACAGAAATGTCCACCCCAATCTACCGCTTGGAATGAGGCTGGACATAGCAGAACATCTCCAACAGCAAGAGAACTTCTTGCGGCGGGCACTAAGAGCACCAAGAGACTTGACAGGGACCGTATCGTATAGGATGCCCCACCCTGTAGATTGACGAAAATTTGAACAAAAATATAATGATTGAAAAAACAACTTCAAAGTTGTTTGTTTTGAAAATATTTGAAAATAACTTTTTCCCTGGTAAATATATTTTGAACTACAAAGTGATGATTTTCTATATTTGAATATTGATTATTTAAATATTTGTACCTATACCTATCCTAAACATATCTTCATATTCATCATCTCTTTAGGGTGTTGATCTAGATTTTTCATTTGTGTTTCATTGGACATGTCTAGGTGGAAGCTATTTTGGGAATTATCAGGGCGTTTATTTTAAAAAACCATAAATTCTCTCTTACAGTTTTGAAGATAGGCTATTCAACAATATTGATAATTTGAAAAAATCGGGGTTATGAAATGAAGTTTCATTTAATTTTCTTGAATAAAATTAAGATGAACAATTCATTACACAGATAAATTAAAAAAAAACAACCTAGCTTCAAGGAAGACGCTCGAGCTCCAATGTCCCTCGAGTTAATTTTTCAACAGTCAACCGCCCAGCAAATTAGAAGCAAGCAGACAACGCTCTACTGATCACATAATTAAGCATTCCCGAAGGAAATCCGATATTTACCTTTCCTTCTTCGCTAGCCGTATCGTCTCCATTGCTGAGCCTTTGGGACGCAGACGGGGGTAGGGGCAGTTCTCTCAAAGTGGCGTAATCGCCGTCGTCCTCGTCCAACCCGGGGATGGTGCTCCTCCTCACGCTGCTCTTCACCCTAAAAGTGAAACGGAACATTTCATATTCAGACTCTTTATTCGCCTAAAACTGATGAACATTTACATTTCGAATGATAATTGTCACATAAACAAATACATTTGCCTACGAGCCATAAAATCCAGGTTGAGCTGCGACATGCCGAACTCCTTCTCCTTTGGCAAGTGCCTAAGAGGGTAGCCTTTTATATTTCGGAATTAGAGGAGAAAAACAAATACTAATGATCGAAAATCACTTTATTGTTTTTCAAAATATTCCCCTTGAAGATCTATACACTTTTGCATGTGTTTGAACCAATTGTCGAAGCACTTTTGCTACTCTGATTGAGGTATCTCCAAAACATGCATTCTAAATGCAGCAACCGCTTCTTCAGGTTCCGAAAAACGTTGACCCCTTAGTTTGTTTTTTACGTGCGGGAATAAAAAGAAGTCATTCAGTGCCAAGTCAGGACTATACGGCGATTGACTCATCAAATAGATGTTTTGGGTGCTCAAACATGCAGTTGTTTAAGACGAATGTGTGAGAGTTCGCATTGTCGTGGTGAAGAGTGAACCGTCTTCGGCAGTTGGTTTTCCTGATTTCTTGGAAGACAACTGGCAAACAAATGGTGTACCACTCAAAATTGACTGTTCTGCGTCGTTCTAGTGCTACGGTTGCGACATGTCCAGTATTTCCAAAAAACAGGCGACCATTTGCTTGGAAGTGCTTCGTGCGTGAACAACTTTTGTTGGATTTGGCTCGTCTTGAAACACCCATACAGTAGACTGCTGTTTACTTTCGGGCTTATACACGTAAATCCACGATTCATCACCTGTCACGATGTCATAGACGTGTTTCGAAGCACCGCGATCGTATTTTTTGAGCATTTCCTTCGACCAATCGACACGAGCCTTTTTTTTGAGCGATTACCAAATTTTTTGATCCAACGCGAACTAATTTTTTTGACAGTCAAATGTTTATGCAATATTGAATGTATGCTGGCCCCACTAATGCCTAAGGTTGTCTCAATCTCACGATAGGTCTTGCAATATCAGTTTGTGCACAGCATCAATGGTCTTCGGAACAACAATTGATTTTGGACGACCTTCACGAAATTCGTCTTGGAGTGAACCACGACCACGATTGAATTCACCATACCATCGATTAACACCATTCCTTGATGGAGCTTCAGCGCCACAAATTTAATTGAGTTCATCCATGCACTGTTGCTGAGTTAATCCACGTCGAAAGTTGAAAAAAAAAAGAATCGCACGAAAATGTACACGATTTAATTCCATTTTTGGGCCGAGATGATTTTTTTAAGTTACTGTAAACAACAAAAATAGCGCGCGTATGTCAAAAAACCTTCTGAGTACGTATAAGCTCAAAAATGTCCAACTTTACGATAGACCTGTCAATTGCCAGATTGCAACACTAGGGTTGCCAAATCCCGAAACATAAAAGGTAACCCTCGTAACATGCCAAAATTGGAAGATTTCATAGTGATAGTCAATATTGAACAAAATCTGTTGAAATAAGTTTTCCGTTGTTCAGCTGTCGCCCCCCTACGAAAAACAACCCTCAAAAGTCGACACTTCTGAGACGAGGACCTACCTTTTGACTTGCGATTCCTAGCATAAGCTGTTTCTGTTCAGTGAGGAAGTGCTAATTATATAACAGGGATTTACTAACTTTGACAATTGATAACGGTCATTTTGTTGGAGCTATATCTGTCAAATTGGTTCAGTCTATTTTACCAAATCACCATGGACGGATATAACATTCAACAACTCATGCAAATAAAAAAATTGTTTCATCAAAATTAGTGTTCTGTTTGGGCAACGTACCGCACGCTTCGCCTATTTTACGGTCTCCATAATCGTCCTATCGAGAGGACTATTAGCAATGTGGTGGATAATTTTGAGTCTACAGATTCAGTAAACGATCGACCAACACCCGGTCGTCGACCGGGCAAGATATGCCGAAAACATCGCCGCTGGCTATGAGAGTGTGCAGGAGAATCCGAGGCAGTCGATTTCGCATTGCTCACAAGAAATCCGCCTTTCGCAGACCACAACTTGGCGAATTTTGCGTCGTGACTTGGACCTGTACCCGTATGGCCGGGCCATAACATTCAACGACGAGCACTATAGGTCGATAATCATCACTTTCTCCTCACGAAAGTTAGTGAATGATTTTGGGGTTCCACAAGGTAATGTATTAGGACCTTTACTGTTTCTGATTTATATAAACGATATCGATTACTTAGATGGTGATCATGTGATTATCTTATTTGCAGATGATACATTAATATATACCTACGATAAAACCTTGCAAGTCGATATTGAAAAGATGAATAATTCATTAAAAAATATTGAGTTTTACCTTGGAATAAATAAATTGAAACTTAATATTACTAAAACTAAGGCGATGATCATTACAACAAAGTATAAACAAAATAAAATTGGGAGAAACACAGTCAAAATTAAAATTAACGAAATTGATGTTGAAATAGTGGATAATATTAACTATCTAGGGTTCATTGTAGATGATACAATTTCATTGAATGATCATGCTGACTATATAATAAGCAAAATATCCAAGAAACTGTATTTTTTTTCTAGAGTGGCATCTGTATTATCAATGTATGCCAAAATAATGTGCTATAATTTCATAATAAAACCTCATTACAATTTTTGCGAGATTCTCTTATATCTCTTGAATCAGAACAAATGAAATCAATTACAAAAATCACAAAATCGTGGAATGCGAATAATATTACTCTGCAATAGAATGACACCTATACATAATATGCTCTGTAGTTTAAGGTGGCTTAATGTCTCTCAAAGAGTATATTATCAAACTATGATATTTATATTTAAAATAATAAATAAATTGCAACCAACATACTTAGTAAACCTTTTGATCACAAGTAGTGAAGTACATCATCATGGTACTAGATCGAACACCAATTTTCACATCCCAAGGACAAATTCACGTAGCAGTATGAACTCGTTATTTTTCAAATATTTCATATATTTTTATTCATGTTTCAACTTTTTTATTTTTAGAACTGTATCAACGAAGTTCAGATTCATAGTCGTAACAAAAAATGCTTATCAAGTGACACATCAAAAACACAAGAAAAACATTATTGAAATAGTACTTTTGAATTGGTCAAAATAATTTATCTGACGATACCTCGAACCAACGAAAAAGAATTATACTGTCCTCATGGTATTCAAAGCACATGAAATCTGTGTTGTTGAAGAAGCAGGTAACTACTAAAAGCCCGTGCCTTTAACCTATAAAGAAAACTACAATGAGATCTCACGATCTGAAAAACCGTATTAGAAAAGAATCTATCAACTTGTGGCAACAATATCAGAAAGTGAAAAAAAAATCGAGAAGGAAACAAGATGTCATTGTGAAACTGGGAATTGGACATGCCAAAATGACAAATATTGAATGTCAATTGTCGTAAAATTGGTAGCCTGAGCAAAAAATTATGTATAGTGGCTGATGATTTTAGTTATCAATGCCACATCAAACCCAAAAAAGAAATACATTGCGAAAAACAATGATGACAACTGTCTCTACCATTTCTTGTGAAAAAACAAATATTTTGTCTCTCACTAAAAATTTTCATTATTATGTGTACGTCACCAGTGACTCAATATATAAGAATCCCCCGAATACGAATTAGAGAGATCGGATGACGCATCAAGAAACTTTCTCAGTCTCCGTTCCACAAAAACACTCTCAATTTGTCTAAGACTACTACGTCACCCCTCTAAACGTCGCAGATCGTTTGGAGCCGGCCCTAGGCATTAACTTTATTGTTTCCAGGACAAAAGACAGCATGAGAAGGATAGAAGACGAAGACGATCATCCCCCTCTCAGGAAATTACCCCCACTATATCCCTCGTAGCAGAGACTCAACTTATAAAAATTGTAGTTTTTCGTGGATGTTTTGAGGGCAGTGAATATTAAAGTGAGAGGGTACGAAGTTCATCGGAATATTAATCTGAACAAGGGGAATAATAGGGTAGAATAGAACTCGCAATGTTTCAAAACAGCTTTTTTGATATGAACTTGAAAGATAAAAAACTACTGAAGGAAGTTACATTAGGTGAGATTTGTTAGAACTGCATACACGTGATTGATAAATCAGGAAAGGAATCGTGTAAAAAAATTTTATTTGTAAATTGCAAAACGCTTTCGGCTGTTACGCCATCATCAGTGCGATACCTGCAAGTAATTCTTTTAATATTGTAGAATTATTTACTCGTCAAGTATATACAAGAAGATCCTGCTGCCTTAACGTACAACAACTTTAGTAAAAACCACTCTGAGTGCAATAAGCAAACATTTGCACAAAATGTGAATATGTTTGTTTCAAACAAGCAGGAACTTCTTGTATATACTTGACGAATAAGTAATTCTACAATATTAAAATAATTTAAAGTTCAATCTGAAATCAAAACAAATGAATATTATTGAATATTACTTACTTGCAGGTATCGCACTGATGATGGCGCTAATAGCCGAAAGCGCTCTGCAATTTACAAAAACATTTTTTTTACACAAAATACGATTCCTTTCCTGATTTGGAAGTTACAATATACCTATACAAACTCTTGGAGGAAACGGTTGATCATCCAAAACTATCTTTGAGAGAAAAACTGAAGAATACTAGTTAATGTTTTTATTGTATCGACAAAAAGCAATATTCGTTGTTCTTCGGAACAAAAGGAAAAACGGCAAGCTTAAGGCACTCCAGTTTCATAGACATTCAGTCTTTTGAATTCTCCGTAAGACGTCTTGGAAAATTCTATTCTATTTGGAATGTAGATGAAATATCTTGGCATTGTCCTTGATAAAAAACTTACCTGAAATGCTGACTTGGAGAAACTTTTACATAAAGCCAGACTATTCCTATGGACATGTTGAAGGGGTTGTGGTAAAACTTAGGTTTTAGATCCCAAAAAAAATCCTTTAGATTTATTGTCTGACGAATTC